GGGGTGATGTGCTCTACTTTCTTAGTCTTAGTGAGGACACGGGCAGCAGCGTTCTGCATCAGCTGCAGCTATCTGATCCACTTTTTAGGCAGACCTGTGAAAACACCGTTGCAGTGATCAATTCGACTAAAAATAAACGCATGGATTTGTTTTTCCAGATCGTGCTGAGACATTATTCCTTTAATCCTGGTAGTGTTCTTCAGGTGATAGAAAGCCGACTTTGTAATTGTCTTTAAATGCTTTTGGAGGTTCAAGTCAGAATCCGGCACTACACCTAGATTTCAGGCCTGATCAGTGGTTACTAGCTGAAGCGACTGAAGCTGTGTACTAACTTTAGATCTCCTCTATTGGTCCAAAGATTATTAGGGTTAGGGTTAGAAAGGTGGTTAGGGTTAGGGTTAGGTCACAAAGGTGTAGAAACAGAGGGTGTCGTGTAATGATCAAATGATTGAGCGGCCTCTTTGGAGCAGATGACTTGGGTTTTATTACTGTTGCTTATTTATTTATTTTCGAAGATTTATCAGTATATAAAGGATTAAAACAACCCTTACCCCAATTTGTACGGATTGTGGATTTATCCAATTTGACGACGATGTCGTCTTTAAAACCAGAGAACTCAAACACACAGTCGTATCTCTTCCAGTCTTCAGGCTGGACAGATGAAACGTTGAACTCAACACTCATCTGGAAGGTTCCATCATTGTTTGCAAGGATATCTCCTTTCTCCACAGCCTCATGAATCTCTTCTCCATCTCTTCTCCAGAAAACTTCAGCTGTTTCAGGGAAGAAACCTGTAGCATGGCAGGTCACCACAGAGGTGGGAGTCCTCTGGAGCAGAGACACAGAGGGTCTTTCTATTTAAGAAAAAAATTATAATAAAACAGATGATCTTTGTAATTAATTTGCACAGATCCTGTTGTTGCTGCATTTAAATTGTGTCATAAATATACCTTTCTTTTGCAGAAAGCTTCTCCCATCCTTAACATATATCTTTAACATTTTGGGACATATATAGATGTAAAAATTTTTATTTTCTTGTAATGTAGCTTTCTCGGTGTCCCATGTGAGTTTTGTGAGTACAGCTTGTGGTTTGGGAGCAGTCCATGTCAGGGTCTTCAGGTCCAGGGCTAAGAAGTCTTCCCCATTATAACCATACTGATTATATCCTGTAATTTCTCCAGTCTCATCATCCCACTCACAGCCATTCATTCTCTGCAAAATGTGGGGACCTTAAAGACAAGAAAAAAAAAAACCTTAATTAATAAAAGAGGGCACACTAACATATAAAAAAGGAAAACAGTTAATCAAAATGATAAAAAAATAAATGTTTCTAAGACAGGAACAGACTTTAACATCTCATATATGTACCACCAAATTGAGTTTAACAAGAAAATAAATAAAAGAAGATAAACTAAAGGCAGACATGTACTGTTTTGTTTTGTTTTTTCAGTTTGAGGTAAGAGAGACAATATTAAATTCATGAATAAGGAAAAAGCTTATGATGAGGTTAAATGTCGCCTTTTTTGCAAGGATTATATTGTTTCATACTGTGTTGTATTACAAAGCGCCTCTAGGTGGTGCTGCATTCACGCCATGAAAAATAAGCTAATTAAGCATCAAATCACTTCAGTTAAAGAAAGGATGTAAAAGTATCTGGAAAGAAGACAAAGGCCTCTTTTCTTTAGTATCCAACAGCCACCAATAGATTAATGTTTTTGATTTTGTTGTTTTCATATACATCTAATGTTTATTATTGAGAGTTGTCTCTAATTGTTCTAAAGACTTCATTGATTTTTTTTGTCTGTATGTGTGTTTGTGTGTTGAATTTCTAATAAATTCATAGTCTAAGGAAACTATTTTTGTGGACCTGTTTCACATGATTAACGATGACAGTTATAGTTTCCCTTGTAACAGGAGACGCTGGCTCCCTTTGAGAGTCACATTACACCATTAAATGATTAATAAATGTTATTCTTTCAGTTTTACCTTGAACATGCTATTTGTTTCACTATGCTTTTAAAATCCTACAAACCTTGTTCACAAAATGATGCCTCTAATCTGTAATTTATTCTTATGTGTGTATTTTGAGTTCATAAAGCCGCAGCCACACCTTGACGATTTAGCCAGGCTGATGTACGAAAAACATGACAAAAAAACGCTGGGATAAGTTGTATAACTTTGTATAAGTTATGAGCATGCTGAAGTACTCTGAAGCATAGTGACTCATGCTGGCACATGTTGACATACAGCAAGAAGGTATGCCAGCGTATGCTCATTTATGGGCCATAAGTTCCAGGTAAGTTATCTGATGGTTGACATACGTTAAGTGTCAGTTACTCATAAGTCGTGGCGTCTAGCTTATCTAAAACCTATGAGTAACTTGTGCATAACTTATGCATAACTTATCAAGAACTCATCTCCAACGCATATCAACGTGTCTGACGTGTTTCTAAGTTACAGCTACTGTATAATGGCGTATTGGCAGTGTTTTGGTATAAAAGAGGGTTCACTCGAGGAAACCGTCCGTCCTCCTCCAGACTTTATCCTATCATAGGGTGAGCCAGAAGGTGAGTGTGATGGATCCTCCCTGCGTTCACGCCCTCGGCCACGGCCAACAAACTTCCTAGCAGACACAATGCTGAACCTGCTGAGACTGCAAACCCTCTCTCTTTCTTTTTCTTTGTATTTATTTATTTATTCTTTTTTTTTGGCAGGCAGTAAACAGCAGCTAGGTTAATATTGTGATCAAAAACATCTTTTTATGCAGGCTGGGCGCCTCTGGGTGATTTGCTGCCCCACTCACATCACTGGCTTGTGCATCATTTCATGGGAATTATGCTGCCGTGCGTTAGGAATAAGTTAGGCTGTCTTTGGACAGAAGTATTAGACATAAGTATAATGAATACTCTGGGTATACACCCAACTACATTGAAAGTTCAGCGTATGCCAGCCTTTTAGAAGATTTTGGGACGTCAAGGTGTGACAGGGGCTTTACAGGTCCTGCTGTAGAGTTGGAAGACAAAATACATGGAAATTCAATCAGTTGTACTATTGCACTGTTCTTTATCATTTACAGGAAATATGGCAAGAACTTTATACTGAAACCTAAAGCCAATATACACTCACCGGCCACTTTATTACGTACACCTGTCCAACTGCTCGTTAACACTTAATTTCTAAGCAGCCAATCACATGGCGGCAACTCAGTGCATTTAGGCATGTAGA